TTAGCATAGTTGTAGTGGTAACAGCAGCATTAGCAGTAATACTACACAGAGCAGCTGCTGTTGTAGAAGCACCAGTAGTAGAAACTCCCTTTGAAATGGTCAACTGTACAGCTTGTAAAGTACAAAACACTGTTGTGAAACAACCTGCACTACACCAAAGAGAACAATGATGGTTTTACTCTTAGAAATGACTGCATGCAATACTTGTCATTAATAATAATTAGCAATTAATTGCAGTTTAGAATGTAGTTCAATTGGCAACTGCAATATTCCAAGCTATTAAAAAATAAGCCATTTAGCCATATTTAAAAATCTAAAAAGAAAGATGAAAGGATTTCAGATTTTTACAGCATGAACACAATGCATACAGTACAAGCTGCCTCAATGTCTCTGAAATTTTCTCATCTTCTAGCAAATGTATTTACAAGCAGATATCACTTCAGGAAGTAATGTCCAAGTTAAGAACCAGACAAATGTAAAATATATTGATTCAAAAGTATTCCTTGAACGTCAATGACCTGCTGCTGTGGTCACATTACAATCCCAGGAGTGTTCAACAACAGGAACTGGCATCAGTCTTTTGAGGTACTGTATTTGTGGGACTAATACATGATTTTTGAATATCTCATGCTCAGAATTGTTTTAACTGACCAAGGCATTGTTGCCATCCATCCTTAAGGGAATGTTTTACTCATTTACTCCTTTTCCCTACAAATCCTCTTTTCCATTTCTCAGAAGATTGGGATGTTTTTATTAGTTTACACAGCCCCCACATGGAAAACGTCTTTACAAGGCTAAGTGTTAATAAAACACAAGCATTCTAGATGGACAATTTAACAACCTAGCAACTGCAAATCAATTTGTATGAAGTTGCAGAAACCTGGTGAGGAAGATACCCATCCTCCACCAAACCTGTATACCTCTCACAGCTTACATGTACCCAGGAATGCTCTCCTTCTTCTAAGAGGAACGTAAAGCATCACAAATCTCAGCACAAAGTGCTGTGAAGCAATGGAGGAGAAGGAGCATACTTCAGACTGTGTCTGGAAAACAAACAGAAAAAGCTGTCTGGAAATCTGTCATGCTGAAAGGAACCCAGAACTGATGACAGCAGGGATCTCTTCTGGCCAAGATTTTAATTATGTTTCAGACAGCATGGTCTATTTATTTTATAAGAGGGACTCTAGAGAAGTCAAAGTATAAATAAAATCTTTACTAAATTAAAGAAGAACTGCTTTGGATAAACTGCTTAACACTGAATGAGGAAATAAATATGATATACTAAATTTATATGATATAAAAATCCAGTTGGATTCATCTTAATTTGGTTTTGTAGAAAATAGATTAACGTCTAATCCAAGATATTTTGTAATTGATCTGTACTTTAGCAGTTACATTTTTTCATACTTCTTGTCAATACACTATGTGCAATATCACAGGAAAATGTATAAGTAAACAGTTTGTCCTGATTGTCATGGAATAAAATGTTACCGTACAGTACTGTATATAACTAAGTCAGAAATGAATGCATTATAGAATTTTCTTATTATTAATTATATAATATTCTTTTTACTCTTCAAATTACATCACATACCTATAGCTGTAGGCCTGAGACTGTTGTATACACCAAAGGCACCTCTCAGATGCGCAAAACAGATTATTTTAATATCAGTGTCTGAAATGTGTTCTTAATAATTTAATGCAATTGCCCTCAGTTTTCATACCTAGCTGGAAACAAACTCCACGATTCAATTCAGTTGTCTGAAAAGCACCCTGCTGTAGAAAAGAAAATTTCTGCTTTTTAATTAAGTTCCTCTCAAAAAAGCTATTAGAAAAACTCACACGAACCCTAATCTGTCAAGATTCAGTCCTCCAGAGTTACAGCAGAAAACGGCTGCGGAAAGGCTTTCCGAAACCGATGGGAATTATGAACCAATGTTGATGAGTTTACAAATCGTGCTTTATGCCATAACAGTGTTAATACTATTGCTGGGGCAAAAATAACAGCATGTTCTCAGAAAACATACGGTGAGGAATTCGATTTTTTTCCTTCATTAGAATATAACGTGATAAATCATTCCTGTAAAAACCTTCACTGTCGGATTTTGTAAAATTTTCAACCAATCATATGAAGTCTATTATTGTTCTATTACGCCCTAGAGAACAGAAAGCGCAGCTGCTGGTGGAAGCCCATTTACCAAGGCATTGCTGATGAGTGTACTAAACCACGATGAACGTCTCGTAATGATCCTGGCAACCATGAATGCTTGACAATAGTTGTGCTCAGAGCGCAGTGATGAACCCAGAGCGTTATGAAAGCCTTCACCGAACTCGTTGGGAAAGATGCCTGTGGCTTGAACCAAGCCCTTCCATCTCCCTGCGCAGCGGTCAGTCTCCACATCTCCGGGGTCAGCTAGTCCGCACGCGCGATCGTATTTCCTTACAGCTCTAAAATCCCAGTTTGCTGTGACTCACCCAACGGGTTTTTTTTTTTTTGCAAAGTTGGGACGTGGTCATCGCCCAGTCAAGAGGAAGAGGTATTGTATTTGACACATTAGATCAAAAGAATGGTGGAAACCCAAGAACATCGTTCGTGTTCTGTACTTATTACAGAGGATACTGCAATCTGCACCGCTCCTCTTACATCTGGAGTAAAATCTGGATCTCGAGTGTAAAACCATTACGTAAATATGTCAATATATATAGTGGGACTCGTGTTTATACCGCGGTTTTGATAGGTGAAACCCCGGACAACAGAAATGGCGATAACTTTGACAACGAATATGCAAGAGAAGGAGGGAGAACGGATGTTTGGACCGGCTCGGTCACAGAGTAAACAAAATCACAATTATTATTTGTTGAAAACAGCAATACAACTCCATCTAACCTTCTGAACAGAAACCGAGTCTTGTCTCCTAAACACAATTTGCACCTCAAACGCTTCCGTTGTGAACAAATTACACCCTTGGGCGATCAAACGGACAGTATCAGCGCATGTCGATGTAGAGCAATTTCTCTTCGTTTTTCATTTCAAAATACAGTGTATCAGTAATATTTCCTGACCATAAGCCTCCCAGCATGATAAAGACGAGCCAGTGGCCGTGTAGCAGACCAGCGGGAGCTGCTGAAGCGAATCAGAGAAGACCTTTGATAGTGTACGTCTTGAATCTGTCTCATGTGTGGGAACTCCACCTCCAGGCGGGGACATTGGACACACGCACCTCCGAATTCTCAAAGCACATTCATGCTCTTTGTGCGGTCCAAGAAATTAGACATCAAAAACTGATGAATGATTGTCATCACCTTGAAAGAGTGGGACCACATGGGTGAGATTAATCAGTTTAGGTGCTTCAGGTTTTTTTAAAAAAATCGATGTCGTGGCCCATTTTTATTTTCACAGAAGCATCTCCCCCCCAAAGCACGGATGCAGATTAATGTAAATTTCTCGGTGGCAGAAACATATAATGTCAGGATACATTGCCGAGAGGTAGCTTTCTTTTTGCAGTCCTCTTGCCACATATGTAATAAAATACATGAATTCGCTCGACAACCATTATGTGGAGTGATCTGATTCGAATCGACTTGTGTGTTTTTTGTGAATAGCCCTGCTGGCCGTGTTAATACATTGTAACCTGCAGTTAACACCTACTGTATACTATTACAGCCGCTGAAAGGAAACTCCAGCCTCTTTGTTTCTCAATGCCCCTCTAGCTCACCCCCACAAAAAATAACGAGCTTGACCTACATACGAAATCCAAATAGGTAGATGGTTTCATATCGATTTAAACTGATCATTTTGAATTTCATAAATTTAAAACAGCTCAGAACAACAGTACAGAAGAGGAAATTCCAATTGGAAACCCGACTGTGTTATTTAGGATGGATAAATTAGTGGTATAACACAGTCTGGTAAGGGAACAAGTAATAGGTGTACAGTATGCCATGCTGAAAAGAGAAGAAAACACAACGTTTCGGCCGTGGAGGAACGGACTGGTATATGGATAAATTGGATTAAGTCGTAAAATAGTTTAAAATCCGTCAGGACTACCTCTAGGATCACTGTTATATGATCTTAAATTATTGATACTACCTGCAGACCTGTTGTTGTTTATTCGTTATAGTCATTTTGTCGTTGCTGTTTTCATTAATGGCTTATGGGTTCCTACAGAACATTGGTCGATTTTATGAGGGCTGTTGCGAGCGTGCAAGGTATTTAACCAACGATGAGATGCAGGAGCATCTCCTGGACGGAGATCATTTAGCCATCTGACTCGGTCTGGGGGGACTGCCGTGTGCTGTCGCGTCGCCCGCTCCCCTCGCGCCGGCCACCCCATCGGCAGCTCGCAAATTGCTGCGAGTCAGTGGGGTGAACATACTGTATGATATAATAAGGATTACCGCAGGTTTACAGACGAACCAAATCACGGCGGGGAATCAAGCATCGCACAATCCTGCCCGGTGCTCATTCCTAGACAGATCTTGTGCGCCACCTTCAACACTTTATTTAATCCGAAATAAAAAAAAACCGACAATCCGTTCCATCTTGTGTTTTACTTATAAGTAAAGAGGTTGGATCTATTTGATTTCCCATTGATGTAACCCTTTTCCGACGTTTAATTGAAATTCGACCACGGCATACGTTAAGTTAATAACTGGGCATGATCTTTTAATATTAATGAAAACAAGCATAGGTTGTAACCACCCGACCAGATCGCCAGCAATCTTATATATTAACATATAAAATACACCACATTATATAGAGATGCAAGGTTTTATATTTAGTTAGAAGGGATAACTAAATTAAGATGTGTATAGCAACCTCTAATGCCACCTAATAAGAAAACTTGCACTTAAAGTCACAAGAAAATGTAAATATTACACCTAGAAAGTTTCCGTATGAGACCGTTCTAACACTTAAATTAGCATTTCGTGAGGCCTCTCAATATTTAAAGACCAAGGTACACATAAACATTTTTTTTGTGTGCTGTGCGAACACTCACATTTAAATTTCTCGGGAGAAAACCAAAAGTTTCTGATCCTCTCTGCTCGAAGTTCCGTGGTGTCTTGTAGCTGAAGACAAGATCTTCTGCACAGAAACCGCGATCCTTCAATGTGTCCAACTGAAAACCAAAGCAAAATAAAGCAGAAACCGATACTGGGTGTTCTGTATAATCCACACAGCTCCGCGCGACGCGATCCCGTTGAGCGAATTCCCTCTCTCGCTCGTGCTCTCTCTCCCCTTCTCTCTCTCTCTCTCGTGCTCAGGAATGCCTCCCCAACTGCAGTCAATGATGAAATTCAAGCCCTCCCTCGACCTTATTCATATCTGCTCATTGGGTTTTTTTCTTTCAATTGGATTTTTTGACACTGTCCCCAATGCTCTCTGCTTTTCTGTCACATTCACACGCATGAACACTACGCACTCGTACTCGCTAGATGCTGGTTTGGGGTTCAGGTACTGTATGAATCTGAACTTTCCACGTGTTGGAGCTCGAAGGTAAAGGCAAGATTAAGAGGCTCTTACTCTCGCTATTTCCAGCAACGGTGACATCACCTGGCCGTTAAGTGCCCTTTTAAGTCCCATCTGAAGAGACAGCCTGTGGCCACAGTGTAGGCTACAGTATATCATACTGACCATATTTTCACAGATGATGCAGGTCCGTTAGATATCAACCTGTCGACACTTTGCAGGAAATGAATTCTACTACTTCGAAAGTGAATTCAGAGAAAAATAACACAAGTCGTGCTGAAAGACTGCAACGTCGATTTGCTCCGCCTGCACCGAAATGCATCTCAAAGTAAACACATTCAAGAGCCCCGTCTCCGAACAGAGTAGTGGATATACTGTAGATTGAAGTTTTGTTACTTGGAACAACTTTTTTATTTTAGCGATACAATGTGAAAGATACACATATATAATAATTCAAGTTACTATTTAATAGTAATCCAGTATATCAATTATATATCAATAGCTATAAATATTTCTGCAAATATGCGTACAGTAGTTCCTATATGTATTATATGTTTCAGTGCAGAAAAATAACACTTTCGCTATTTATGGATTAGAAAGGCAAGATTTAAAAAATATTGTCTTCCTATCACAAATTTATCTTATTTATTAATGGACGGGAGTAGGTACATTTGATGGACGTTGATTCTTCACAAAAAAAACGACTGTGACTTAATTGTACAGTACGCCAGCAGTTAAGATATTGAACTCAAATTCATCATTTTGTATTTTATAATATAAAACAAGTTATGAACCATATCTGATCGACCACAAATGTTACTGTTTATGGGTGGCTCTGCAATTGTTTTTAAATGGTTACAAACAAAGCTTAGAAACTCATATTATTTTTTCATGCATTAAGAATAAGGAATTATAAATAAGGTATAAGGAAAGATAACACTGTTTATGTTGTTTTGAGGGAGATATGAATGAATAGATGCAGTCCCCTTTAACACAATTCCCTCATTACAGTTTTGTAAGTGACCATACAAGGTTTTGCTTGTATTTGGTTTCACCCACTGTTTTCTCTGTCCTGACAAGTGCCCCAGACCCTCCTGCTGAAAAGCATCTACAAGGTCAAGTATTGGTACATTGGTCTGAAATTCAACATCACATACAGCAGCACCCTGCTTTTTCTTTTTGGATGTCTTGATTTTCCCATTTGACTGGAAGGTCAGTCTATCGGTCAGTATAATGAAGGAGCAAAGGGCTATAATAAATCAAATAACCCTCTCAAATCTTCAATGGCCAGGAGCAGCAATTTTGGTAGAAATGTTTCCAAAAAGTTGGTAATCTCCTAATGACCTTCCCCTATATTAGGTCATAGGGTAATCCCCTTCAATGTCTTCTGGGAGATCAACAACACGTAGATTGGATTGGCAGGTTCTGTCCTCCCCTTTGTCCAAACAGAACTGGAGGACATTCTTTCCTTTCCTCTCAGCTTCTACTGAGAGTCTGTTACTGCTGTCTGCAGACAGCCTTTATGTTAGTTAAGTGGTCAGTCTTGACAGGGTCCCTGAGCCGGTAAAAAATGAAGTCTCTCAGTGAGAGGAGCTGTGCATCAGAAAGACAGCATTCTTCCCTTGGGAATCATCTCAAGGAAGTGTAGGGTCTGTGACCAACAGGAGAAGAAGCTGCTTTAGGACTTTTTTAGACTTGGCTTTAGGAGATAGAGTGTTGACAATGAGTCATTATCCTCAAGAGCTTGTGTAATAACTAAGCACAAAAATATCCTAAATTGAAAGTAAACCAAATTAAAAAGGGAAGAGGGTGGGATGAGACTGTGCACAATTTACAATTTCGTTTGACTTAACTAATTTTAGCCTGGAGTTCTGTAAATGTTTACATTTTTAGTCTTCCCATGATGTATCCTTTTGACAGTTAGAATAAGAGATCTTGCAAATCACTCCTTGCAAGAAATCAAGTATTCTTAAATTTTTGTGGTTCTTTTTCTGGTTGAGTGCTGAGGCTCCAAAGCAGACCAAAGAACAGATGCAAGACAATCCTACCCTGTTCAATGCCAGATCCAGATTTTGGCATTTAATTTGATTCTTTTACACTCCAAACGTGCTTCACATATTACATATCATAGTTTTCAGCTAAAGGCATCTGGAGTTAGCCAGTCACCTCTAAGTGACACACAATATGTTTGTCTAGTATTTAATTGAATCAGATGTGCTTCTGGGAGTCCAAATAAGACAACAAGAATGCTATAGTCAAATAAACTTGAGATTTGCTTAAGAATTTGGGAAAGAAAGAACATACTGTAATGTATAGTATAAAATATTTCCTTACACTAAAATGTGTGTTCTGCAGGTTCTCTGAACTGCAGCTTTTGATACTCATATTGAAATTAAGGATAATTAAAAGTATGACCATTTAATTAAAATGTTGCCAAAGCAATAATAGTTATCAAAACATTTGCAGTCATTCAGTCATTTACAATAATATCATCATCATCACCATCATTATTATTATTGTTGTTGAATATAATAATTTGAATCAACATAAAGGAGACTATAGCAAAAGTATTCTAGACACATACTGTAATATATAACCATAATAAAGCAATACATCTAACCTGTGGTGCGAAAAGATTTGTAATTTTGCCTCTAGGGGAGTAATGGGTCATACACCTGATAGCCATTGAAGCAGAACCACTGCTGGGAGGGCCTGATGTGCAGTGTGCAGGATACATGTGGGAGTAATTCAGGACAAGGTTTAGTTCCCCTGCTGTGGGTCATGTCAGGGAGCAGTCCACATGTGTGTTAACCACAGGAGTTCAGCAGCTCCGGAGCCACACACATCTGAGGTCAAAGTAACAAGAGTTCTAGAAAGTCCATGGAAATTCTCTCTGAAGCAGTTCCATTTGACCTCATCCTGGAGGAACCCTGTGTCTGTTGGTTCTCTTGGTGTTTATACTTACTGTAATTCCTAATTTCTTTACAACAACAAATAATGGAACTTTTTAGCAAACCAATGTTTTGTGCTGTTATTATTTGATGTCACGTGTTCCCAAATTTATACTTTACTATTGGAAATAACTGAAGTATACAGATTAGGTTATCTGTGTTCATTCTGTTTACAAAATTGTTAGCTGCCCAAAACACCCAGACACAGGTGGAAATTACACTCGATCAAACTCTAAATTATTTTAGTGCTAGGTTGCATCTTGGGCCCAGTGGGCAAATGGTTTTATGGCTGTGTTCTATTCCCCAGCCAATGTTTTATGTACTATTTAAAAAAAAAAGTTTGATGAAGCAAATAGGTTTTCTAAAGTTATTGCAAGCTTTAATGGAATAAAACTACAAAGCAGAAATCTAATTTAAAAATGTTCTTGAGCACTAGGTAACAACTTGAGGCATGTAAAAATGACATACAGTATTATATTATGTTATTATTATGTTATATTCTTGACACAGAACTGACAGAAGAGTAATAAAATCAGTCAAAATTTGATAGACTAACATATTTTTAACAATAAAATAACATAAAATGACACAAAACATTATATATATAAAACAAATATATGTGTTATATAATGTCATGACATACAGTATGCATTTCTGAGGCCTATGTCCTGCAGAGAAAAAGACATATAATTCTAGCCATATAACCCAAAACATTATGCAATAGCTTGGCAAGCTAAGAAGAGAAATATCCTGCATGCCTAAATAAAATAACACAACCCAAAACTAAAATTCGCTTCCTTGAATGTGGATGCCCAAAAGCAAATAGGAATTTATTTCTCTATTTTAGACATGCTTCACCAAAACAGAAGAGAAAGTTTTTAGCCTGAGGATTCCACAATAAAGACTGTCAGAATTTTCTCAAATGAATAGGACAGCAAGTTCTGTATAACAAGGTTCAAATAACGTAACCCAAATCTGACTTCTCCTATCTTGGAGACCTTGAAAATAAGGTTGTTTCTCATGGCTCAGGTTTTGAGGAAGAGGGGGGTGATGGAATTTAAACTTCTCTGTCTATCTTGTCTTCTTTTGTCTTCTTACCTTCTTCATTTTACTCTTTGTCCTTTTCTGTCTTTTTATGTTGTGCTTCTGTGTTCAAATTTAATGATTTGACAAGACGTTAATTAACTATTCTTGTTTACCAGTCGCTCAGTCCACCTCTGCTACTGTAGGCTAACGCCTCAGATGAGACCTGTCTGAATAAGGCCTTGAATATGTCAGAGTCACCACGCAACCACGCACTCGCCACCACATTCTACTGTGCACTGTTCACCGCAATTAATCTATTATCCAACCACTTTCCTCTTTTCTCCCTTCTTAAGTCTTTCAACCACACCTCTCCATGCTCACTACTGAGGTTCACTCTCCGAGCTCTACTCTTCTCGTTGCTAGTTTACTCAGCATCTCTCGAACTCTAGGAGAACGGATCTTTGCCCTCCTTCTGACTATGGACCTGCCTTACAATTTGGCTTTTGGTTATGGGATACTCCCTCTCTCTCGCTTCAACACTTTACTCCTACCCAACACCGTGTCCTAATTTCTATCTACTGGTGCACTAAAATGAGAATAGCAAAGGTAATAGAATTTATGATTCCACTTGCTGCAACAGTTGCAGCGCTCATTTCTGTTATTTTCATGTCTCTTCATACCTTTCTCAAATCCATCTATCCATTTTCTACATGCTTTATCCAGTACAGGGTCGCTGGCAGGACACACTCTGGGTGGAATGCTAGTCTGTAGCAGGGCACACACACAGACAAAAACACACTCATCAGGGCCAGTTTTCCCAGAAGCCAATTAACCTACTGATGCACCCAGAGGAAACCCATGTGAACAAGGGAAGGATGTACAATCTGCTAAGAGAGCGCACCAGAGTAATTGAAACTAGTGCCCCAGCACTGCAAGGGGATAATGATAACTGAGACACTCCATGCAGTTTTTTAAAATGACACATCCAATATACATAATTATTGGTTATTATTTTTCACTGAG